TTATACTTGTGTGTGTGTGTGTGTGGATGTGCGGGTGTGTGTGTGTGTGAGAGATACACTTCCCTACTTACTGCCAGTTCGCCGCATTTCGCTCGACTCCGGTGCCTTGGTTTGGTTTCATTTCATCTCATGCCAACTTATCTGCAATGCAAACGGGCTCGGTGGGGCAGAAGGCGGAGGAGGAGCGACTTCAGCCCAGAAAAGCGAAGCGCAATTCTAATGGGAATTACAAATTTTTCACCATAAAGATGTTGCTGCCTGCCTCTGACTGCCTCCTGCTCAGCTCCCTTTGTCAGCCGTCCAACTGCTGCTCTTCACTCCAGCTTCTCCAGCTCCTCCAGCTCCTCCGGCTCCTTCAGTTCCTGTCCAGTCCTTGTTTCTTGCATAAAATGAAATTGTATTGCATTTTTTCGTTTCATTTTTTCTGTTTTTTTTCTTTTTACTCTGCCTCTCGCAGCATTTGCTTCGCGTGTGTTGCTGCTTTATGGCTGGACACACAAATTGCTGCCTCAGCAACAGCAGCAGGAGCAGGAGCAGGAGCAGCAACTACAGTTTGGGACGGATTCTGTCTTGGGTTTCGCATTTTATGCCAGTTTCATGGCACTTTCAACCGACCCGCCCACTGGCCAAAAACACAATAGAAAATCGCATTTCGTATTTTTGGAGCAACAGCTAGAGCAACATGAAAATTTATGATACATTTGCCGCGTCGCATCACGGACCAGCGGATAGTCAGCCAGGGAGTGTGGCCGAAAGGGCTAAATAGAGTGAGACAGACAGACAACAAGAGACAGAGACAGAGACAGAGAGAGAGAGAGCTCAACTCGTTTGCTGCTTTTCAAATTATTCGACTTAAATAAAATGTTGATAATTGTAATGGAATTTCGTATTAGATTTGGCCAAGCTCCGCACTCGGGTCGGGCCATAAAGTATCGTCCAAAGTATTCGGCAAACACGAGCTGGCAGCGCAATAGGCCATGCCATGCCCTCAACTGCTGCTCAACTATTTGTGCTTATTTATTTCGATTACTTAAGTAGCTCAAAGCCGGGCTGAGCGTAAACACAAACAAATAAACTACCCAAAAACTTGTGGTATTTATGGGGGGGGTGGGGGACGGCGCGGCCGATGGCGAGGGGCGCTTAACAGATTTTGCTTGATTTACGCACATTTATGGAAATTTACATATGCAGAGTCTATGCAGGATGAAAGAGCTAATAAATGTGATTGAAATTATAACTCACTCTGTCCATCTCTCTCTCTCTCTTACTCCTGTTCATGTTGAATACTTTCCATGTCCCTCCAGCTAGCATCCTGAAACAAGTAATTTAATTTAATAAAATATTATTTCAGTTTAGTTTGACAGAAAACGAAACGATAGAGCTATAGATGAAAGTGGCATACATAAATATTACAGTAGGATCAGTAAAATTTTCTGATGAGGGGTACGTATTTTGTAGGCAGTTGACTTAGTTGATAAGCCCTCGCATCGTAACGTGAAACATCTTTATCGAGGCCTGAGTCTATTGAGCCACTCGCTGGCATTGTCTTTTATTTGGTGGGAGGGGGGGCCAAAATCAATAAACCCTTTGCTCGCAGCGCGCATGCAAAATCAAAGCATGCGGGAATGAAACATAACGCCCACTATCATTTGCACTGGAATATAAATTTATTTTTGTATTTTATTGGCGCAAGGGCTACAAATGCCAACGAATAGTTTTCCGTTCCGATTTTGGGCAGCACAATGGCAACGGAATGGGCGATGGGGCGTGGGCGTAGGTGCAGGAGTGGAATGGAGTGAAGAAGAGAGAGAGAGAGAGAGAGAGAGAGAGACGAGTAGTCGAGGAACGAGTATATATATGCCTTTATCAATTTTATCTGTGAAATATTTCCGAAACATTTGCCATTATATTTGCATTAGTGGCCACAGCTTCCTCGAGCCGTTGGTTAACTATATGCGCTCCGTATTATTCGCTGCCGGCACCAGGATCCTCGCACTCGACACGCCAGTGCGACGCCAATGAAAAGGAAAATGGCCAGTTGCATGAAAAGAAAATGGAAAATGGCAGGCACAAGACGAGCCAAGCCAAGCCAAGCCTAGACCAGAACAGAACTGAACAGAACTATATACGCTCTCTATGGGTTTTGTTGCCGCCCGACTATTCCCAGGCGGAAACTGCTTATCACACATTTCCACACAGCCACGCAAATTCGCACACAAGTGCTGCAAACGAAATACAATACAAAAAATTAAAAAAAAAAAAAAAAGAAAAAGGGAGAAGAAAGAACGAAAGGGAGCTACAACAACAACGACAACAACAACAACAGCAACAAGAACAAAAAAGGCAGAAATATGTAGAAAAATGAAAGAAAAGACAGAAAAGTTTTGCTGCCCGCCGTGCAGAGTGCTGCTGCCAGCCTCCCCCTGCCGCCGTCTCCTGCTAAAGTAATAGCGCACAAAGAATGATGCGTAGACATGATTTCCGTGCGGTTGATTTCCCGCACAGCCCATACTTCCTTCTAATACCTCTCTCTGTGTGCCCTTCCTCCCTCTCTCTCTCTCACTCTCTCTGTCTCTATCTCCCTCTCTGTTGCTTGCAGCAAAACTATTTGCTTGGGGATTTAGTTGCTGGTACCTTTTTGTGCGTATACGTAACATCTTATCTACATGTCTTTCACTGGCTAACAGTGAGTCTGCCGGGCCGAGAGAGACCAGACCAGCCCGCTGCAATCGTCGTCGTCGTCGTCATCGTCTTCTTCTTCTTCTTCTTCATCATCAGCGTTTTCAGCATCTAAGCTGGCAGCTGCCTGAAGTAGCATGTAATTCATCTTATTCCCCAAAGACAACTCCGACGACGTCGACGATAAAGACGGCCACGGGCACAGCCTCAACCTGAGCCTTTCTCGCCTCGGCCCAGCCGACTGTCGTCGTCGCCGTCGTCGTCGCGCTGAGCGTTTCTCCATTGGGACATAAATGGCATGTGGCAGAGCTCAGCCGGTCGCTGGCTGCTGAAGGCACGCGTCTCATTACTTTGAGCCGTTACGTGTCGAGTTCGAGTTCGAGCTCGGGCTGCTGCTCAGTTGCGTCGGCTTTACCCTTCACCATAAAATGCGTAATGAATTTTAGATTTCATTTCGATGCCAGCGTAAAGAAAACACCGAATCTTGTCCAGCCACATAACTCATACGGAATGAGAGAGAGAGAGACAGAGGGAGAGCATAATGTTTCTCTGACGAGCAGCAAAATACGTTACGTTTCCTTTGATGCCCCACAAATAGTTTAAAATGTCATCAAATCTCTATAATGCTCTGGGCAAAACTGAAATATTAGCCACAAATTTCCGCAATTTACAAATTGCACTTGATTTTTATTCTCGAGCTTCGACTGTTTGTATTCACGTTGCCCGCAATTCCCCAGTGCCAGCCCAGAAAGTGTTCAGCTCTGGGATTTGTCATGATTGATCGTTTTATCCGTTGGACTTTTCCTGCTCAAAGTCAAGCACATGACGCGAGAGCTGTGTTAGGCAATTATTATGAATTCATGTATAAATATCCAATTCTATAAATAGATTGCCATATAATTACAGAAATTGTAGCATGTTTATCAATAAAGGAGCTTTAGTCGAGTGGGAAATGCCACGAAGTAAGCTAAGCTCTTTGCTATTCGAATGATTTGAAGACACGTTTGTATATGGGCTTTCTGAATCAAAGTTTCATTCACATATACTTGAATAATATTCGAAGTACGATTTTAGTAAATTTGGGTAGAGGCAAGGGCTATCTAAAATCTGAAATGTTCATATTCTCTGTATGCAATACACGGAAATACATAGTAAATCTGAAAGCTCTAGCACTTATTGGATTAAAGCTTCGCTGGAAAAAACAGAACTAAACTATCGATATTTATCGATAGTCAAGTAATATGATGATGACATAAAATCTATATATCATAATCATGTTTGATACGAAATATATATAAATAATAATAATATTTAAAATAAACACAGACGAAACTATCGATATTTATCGATATTCGAGCAATCGGATGTTGATATACGTACATATGTATATAACTATTTAATTCTTATATATATGGACTGCATATGGCACTCACGTACCTGTACCTCCCCTGGCTCATTTTCTTGTAGTCTGCAGTCTGAGTCTGCCACGCCTCCTGCTGCCTGTTTCGTACATTTTGAGTAAACCAATTCCCCCCAATGCGTCTACGATATAAAAGTAATCGAATATTCGCACTGCACTTCAGGTTAGCCTGGGCGCTGTGTGGGTTTACGGTCGGATAACTGGTAGGTGCTGGCCGTCCGCCTCTTGGCCAGACACATCATTTTTCTTGCCGCTAATACCACATAAATGTGAATAAAAACTAAAATAAAAGCCAATAGAAGAAGCCAAACGAATAAGTTTTTCTTTTTTTTTTCTTGCAATTTTTTTTTAAGTGCTTGCACAAAGTTCCTTCACCTCAAGCTGCACAGTCGCCGCTGCGAGCCAGCCGTCCTTATAGTATTTGGAACATTTATTTGCGAGGCGAAAAAAAAAAAATAACGAATCGAAAGTTGTGGGTGAGTGAAAAGCGAATAAAAAACGAGAGACGGAGAGAGAGAGAAAGAGAGAGAGGGAGAGCAAAAATGGCAAATGGAAAATGGAAAATGGCTCACTCAATAATAAAGTAGAGCTGCAGTTGTAGCAGGAGGCGTGGCATTTTAGATAAACATGGCCCAGCGGTGGCTGGGTGTAACTCCTGCTGCTCCTGCTGCTCCTGCCGCTCCTCCTGCTGCTGCTGGCTGCAGCCCAGCAGACGTAAATCGTGCCCAAATTGTTGGCAGCGAAAAGACTGCGCTTAGCCGCGCCGCTTGGCAACGGCAATGGCAAAGGTCAGCAAACTGTTTGAGAGCCAGCTCTGCCCTGGTTTGCCCCGCCCTGCGTAGCCTAGCCTTGCCTAGCTGAACATAGTTGGCTTTGCATTCGATTTTTGTTCACCTAAGCTCGGAGCTAACCAAATTTCATCAAAATTACAATACACTTTTACATTGGCATACAAATTCTTTTTTTTTTTTTCTGAAGCTAGCACAGTCCTATTTCCGAAAAGTGAACTCTATCAGGTGCGTGAGTGAATATTGCATATACACATACACACATGCACACACCCATACATCCACACACTCCCGCACATCCACTGACCATCGAATAAACACCATAAAAACTCTTGCAGCATGGAAGAGCAGCCATCGCAACCGATTAGAATTGAGCGAGACAGCTCGGGCGTCATTGGGAATGGGCTGGACGTGGCACCGGGCACAGCGGCCCGCGCTGGCACCGCCATGCCCGAGGAGGGGCCCAGCGTATCGGGGGTCCATTTGCTGTTGATGTGCTTGGACTCGGAGCGCCATGTGACGTTCCAGGAGGGCGTCATCGATAACGAGGGCATGAATCGTCGCAAATCGAAGTGCTGCTGCATTTACCGCAAGCCGCACGCATTTGGCGAGAGCTCCTCGTCCTCGGACGATGAGTGCGAGAACTGCTGCGGCCATCCCGAGGTGCGTCAACGCAATCGCCTAAAGAAGCAGCAACAGCGCTGCCTGTGCCGCTGTCATCATCAAGGCCTGCCAGCCGGCTATGTCGAGGAGCCCATCAGGGCCACCGAGGCAGTGGGCCGCTCGAGCACTGTCGTCCGAGCCAGGACGGAATCGCCAGTACAGCCGCAGACCCTCATTATGGCCGGCTCCAATACTGGCCAGCAATAGGCTTCTGGCCAATCCCCAGCCAGCACTACCCGACACATTGGCCCACCCATTGAACCAGCCCAGCCCCACCGCAATAGAACCATCAAACCCGTCCACAGCCCTCGCCGGCAGCCGACTGATTCATTCACTCAATCTATGTCCCAGATCTGGCAGACATTCCACTAGGAGCTGGCGCGGCTTCCGTTCCTTTGGCTACTCAACTGTTTAGTACTCGACTAATTGTATAGTTTTCTATCAATTGTAAAATTTATGATTTAGTAGTAACACTTGACTCTGAACATGTACAAAAAAAAACATCGCAAAAGCGAACAAACAATCGCCCATCATTTTACTTCAAGCCAAGTACCATAAAAACCCAACAAACTTGGGGGCAAAGCTATCGCAAGTCACATTTCGCATAACTTTTGGCATTCGAAAGTTATTCGGACGAGTGCGGGAGGCAAGGCAGTTGCGAACTTAGCTCGTATAATTCGTATAGTATAGTATATGTAGTATATATGGTTAAATGTAGTTTACCATCTGTATAAGTTGTATAAACTCCAGTTGAAGTCAAGTTAGAGTTTTCTTCTTTTGTATAGGATAAAATGGGAATAAGAGAATAGGATATTTAGATACTATGTCATTTTATATTTAGATTCCATGTCAAATTGTTTCTATTTCTTAGTTGAAATCTTACCCTAATGCATATTGTAGTTCTTCTAATTATAATCATAGTTCTTACTATTCACTTCAAATTAAAGGAGATTCATTATAGTATTTATTTATCATGCGATTCTGGTCTGTGATGCTGTTTTATATACCATTACAGATAGCTCTATAAATAAAACATTATATTGGAAAGCCTTTCCTGAATTCCTTAATAGTAACTTATCGTAAATATATCAATGGTTTTTTATATCGTGTAGTACTTCCTACCCTTTGTGCTTATTCTTACCTCCTTCTACTTATATTGTACATATTATTATGGAAATCCTCATCTCGTACTGAAATTCCCTTATTGAGTTTTTGATTTGCTGCATATTTTTCTCAGAGACATTCGATCTGGGAAATCTTTATCTGTTCCATTATCGAGTTATGGCTTCTCATTATATTATACAAATAATCATACGATACCTTTAGATAAATTTCATTCATTTGTTCTAGTAAAAGAACTTTTCATATATGTAGATCTTCCTTATCTAATTTCATCCTCATGTATTATAGAAAGTTGATTGAAAATCATTTATGGAAATATTAATTTCATGTAGCTCCCACCTCATTATTATCTTATCTAGTATTCTCTCTGCTTTTTTAAGAGATCTCTGTCTTTGAAACTGTCTTTTTGGGAAAGTTTTCTTATTCTCTCTTTCGTCATTTCTCCACCTCCATTGAAAGTTCTCTTTAAGTCAGTTCTTTATTCTTGTATCCATATATCTTTATATGTATATACATCTATAAATCCATGTTTCTATATATCTACATATATCTTAATCTTAACCCTCGCAACTCTTGCCAAAGCGCGCTACAGATTCCTGCCAGTCTAGGCCAAGATTTGTTGCCAAAATCTCGTAATTGATATTTGTTTTGAACATTTGGAGAAGCCTGCAATGGCTTCAGCCCTTCGGCCAGATACCAGCCGGTCTGGCCTAAACACGCTCAACCACAGAAAAAATAAGAGCAGTGAAGAGAATCTGGGCCGCAGCGGGGTGGCCACAGCTCACAGCTGGTACATGGCTGCCATTAGTCATCGCCATGCCACGCCCACTGTCCACGCGCCCTCTATTGATTGATTATGCGAACTGTCTGCGTGAACTTGTAAATAGATTAATGAACTGCTGCCCCGCTGCACTGCCAAACAGCGAAACCAGTGGGCCAGGACTATCCCGCTCAGCTCCCCGCTTCCTGCTCCCTGCTCTCTTGTGTCGGCTGCAGTTGTTGGCTGTGCGATTTCTTGACGGGGCTTGCGGACGGCCCAGAGCTGTGCTATTCCTTATTTATTCTTTTTCGAGCACTGCTTTCGAATTCGACACGTGGCAGCTGAAAGTCGCCGAAGGAGGCGGCCGAACCGATTCGAATTATGCAATCGTGTGCATATCAGCGCATTGCATGCACCGTGGCACCGATTCCACTCACAGTCTCACAAAATACTATATAGAAATAAGAGAAAACCCAACAACAACAACAACAAATGGAATGAAATACATTTGCTTGTTCCGCGCGCCGCTTTTCCCATTTGTCTGCTTCGTTTTTTTTTCGCTTTTTTTTTGGCAAACTTTGAACCCTTTGCTACTCCATCGTCTCTGTGTGTGTGTGTGCCATTAAGCCACATTTTAATATGTGTTGGTGTGCTGTGTGCCGTTAGTCGTTTTTATGAGGTCTCTTGGCGCTTGATTCCGCGGCCCAAATGCTGCCAACCGCATTTGAAGTGGCTGCTGGAAATGAAATACGCTACAGCAAACAGTTGCCATAGTTTGCATAACTCAAAAACCAACACACACACACACATACAACTCTCTCTCTCTCTCTCTCTCTCACTTTGTATATGTATGTGTGTGTGTGTGTGTGTTTTTTTCCCTTTTACAGATATATGAAGACATGACTAGCCACCCGCACAATATACACACATACACACATACACACACACATACATACCTATACACATATACATGCACGTATATATAGGCTACATGGGGACATAGCGGATATTTTAACTTGGTCAATGGGTCGTCCGCTCGGAATTCGGAATTCGGCAGACGGCATGCGGCATACGGCGTACGGCATACGGCGTACGGTATACGGAATATGGAATTCAGGGTTCGGTTTTGTGGGTTTCGTGCTGCTTAATCGAGTCAAACGCTTGGGACTCACATGCGAGTTGCTGAGCCACACAAACACACATACACGCACCCACACAAACACACACACACGCACAGAAATTCTCACGATTCACAAGTTAATACAAATAAATTAGATCTGCGCACAGTTGCCCAGCTTTGCACGGTTTCCGTGATGATACTCCTAAATCAAAAATGTATCAATGCTGTTGTACTAGAGTCAATTCTTAGTAATACGAAGTCCCTTTGCATATACCAAGGGGTTTGGCGAGTTCTACTTCATCAATTCTGTTGCTAAGCTACCATAGCTCAAAGGCATGATTGCATGATTTAATCTTTGTACTCTCCGATATTCTCCAGCTCTTACAGTATTCAAATCACGCTTAAAAAAAAAATCACAAAGTAAAATGATCGATTTTTATCGATAAACGAGAAAGGGTATGACATATTGAACAAAATAAATAGATTCGTACTGCTTAGGCATTCACTAATATATATGACAAATTTCAAATCTGTAGCATTTCTGGTTTACGAGATCTCTGCGTTCAAACGAGCGAATGAAAGAACATGCTCACATTTGCAGAGCTCGTCTTTCTGAATGAGAATATACACATACTCAGTGGCTGTCTATTAAGTATATATTCATATATATATTTCCCAGTTTTAGGGGGTTCAAAATCAAAATATAATAAAAAAATAAATGATTTTAAACATTTCTTTAAATTGAAATAAATAGAAAACACGAAATGGAGTCTTCATTCAGCATAATCAAATAATATGATCGAAACAATTTATTATTTTAGCTTGGTATTTATATATATAATTCATTTAGGCTAATTTATTGACTACAGCTCTTTACATTTTATTAATATTATTTTTATAATTTTGTTTGTTTTTTAATGCAAACGAATTTTAACGTCCAGCTCGAACAAATTTCAGTCCATTTTTATACCCTGAACCCATTGAAAATGGGAAATCAGGGTATAATGGTTTT